CTGTTTTGAAAGGCCCGCCCCCCCCCCCCCCCCCCCCCCCAAGACTTACTCAATCGCAAACGGCTGGGCCCTCCAACAACTCCCAAGCACCACCATGCATTCAAGCCCAGTCGGGTCGGTCCAGGGACGGGAACGTGGCCCAGTGAACCCTGAAAGACACACAAAGAGGTACCTTTTGGCAAAATGAGAGAGAGAGGAGAGACGAGAGAAGAAGGATGTCAACCAAAATAAAATACAAAATAAAGAGAAATGAGATACAGAGAGACACGCATTGGTAGAGACACAGAGACTGAGACAGAGACACACAGAGACAGAGACACAGAGGACACAACATCCATCCAAGAGACAAAAGAAAAGAATAAGCTTATGCAGTAGAGAGAGTGTGTGTGTGTGAGAGAGAGAGAGATTTGCACAGAGAGAGAGAGAGCACGGAGGGCTTGCAAGCTCAAGGGGATGACATTTGGTCGCGGATTTGCTTAACGACGCATTTTTTTTCTTGTGTTCTGCTCTTCTGGCGGCTGACAGTCGAAGGGCCCTCGGTGCTGCCGGGGACACGAGTGGGGGTGGCAGACGAGAGAGTGTGTGGGTGCGAGGCACAAACAAAAAAAACAAGAAAGGATCAATACATAGGGCCAGGCTGATCGGCTGGTTGTACGCTTGTAGTTGAGGCGCCTAGGGTTTGTGCACTCGGGCCCAAGATCATGGCCGAGCCAGCGGTCGTCATGCCCCAGCCGCGGCTCATCGATTTTCCCGAGGTTTGCCCCCCCCCCTGCTCTTTTCTACCCCACAAATGTACCCTCAGGCCGCCTTGGGGCTTGTTCAAGTCTGCCCCGCGTATCCCACGCCTCGGTCTCTTGCTCACTTGCACTGATTGTGGCTCTCTCACCACCTCGTTCGCTTCAGCCGGCCGAGGATTACGTGCGCAACTTTCTCTTGCGCCATGGCTTGACCACCACTCTGGCGACCTTTCAACAAGAGTGGTATACCAAGGTCTTACAGGGCGAACTACCGGAGCGCACGGACGAACCAGCGCCTGACCTCTATCGGGAGCTGGATCACCTCCGTCAGCAGGTTCAAAACTTTCAACAGCAATCGGTTCATCAAACAAACAAACAGACGTACGTCTCGACTCGCGTACCTCTCGACCCCACGTCTCAATCAAAGTAGATCTACATCCGCACTCCTCGTACGCCAGTCTGATCCATACTCTGCCACTGCTCATGGCGGGACTCGGCTCGCAGATCTTCGCAGAACAAGGTGGAAAAACTGCAGAAAGAACGAGACTACCATCGTCTCAACCACCGCCGCATCTTGCAGGAGAAGACGAAATTTGTGAATGAAATTAAGAGGTGCACCTTGGCTTGGCTTGATTTTGGCTGCTTGGCGCGGGGAATTCGTCACTCACCCTGGAACACACGCAACCGTTTGCTGCTTGCCAAATCGCATGCGCGCCCAGCTTGAAAGACCTGTCTTCACGCCTAGAGGAGGAGTTGGTGGCTTTAAGGGCCAAGCACGATGCCCTCCTACGCGAAAAGGCCCTCATCCGTCTGGACCGAGACCGAACCAAAACGCAAATGAATAGCATCCAGGCCACGCTCCGACAGACACAACTTGAGACAAATGGGTCCTCAGCAACGATGATGCAACCTGCTCCTCCCAGCACGGAAACCGAGCGAGGCAAGGCCCTACGTCAACATCGAAACCCCGTCTTTGAATCAGCCCCGCGCTTGGAAGAGACCACACGCATGCGAGCTTTTAACGTCAATCCCGACGACCTGTTACCGCCGCCCGAGGCCAAGCCCATGACCGGCGCTCGAGCCCAGGCTCTCAGTGTTGTCAACACGGTTCATGCCCACACGTCCTCCATCACTGCCCTAGCCCTTCATCCCAATGGAGAGACGTTTGCCACTGTGAGCGATGACGGTCATCTCAAGCTCTGGGCACTGCCAACAGCACAACCCGTTTTTGATGTGTTGGCCCACACTGAATGGATTGCCGACGTTCGTTTTAGCCCCACTGGTACGGTCCTAGCCACAGCCAGTGGTGACGGCTCAGTGCGCCTCTGGGATTCTCACACGGGTGAGCGTATCCTGGCGCTCAATGAGCACGGCCACGCTGTCTGGTCTGTCGACTTTCACGCGTCGGGTGATTTCCTGGCCTCGGCTTCACTCGATCAAACCATCAAGGTCTGGGATCTCAACACGAATCGATGCCGCCACACCCTGCGTCAGCACACCGACTCTGTCAACTGTGTTCGCTTCCAGCCTTTCTCGCATCAACTTCTCTCGGGTTCGGCCGATGGCACTGTCGTCCTATGGGATGCGCGTAGCGGCTTGCCCGTTCAAACCCTCAAGGGCCATACCAACGCGGTCAATAACCTCTGCTTTGGCCGAGCTGGTGATGTCGCAGCAAGCGTCGATGCCGATGGCAATGTCATTTTGTGGGAGATGCGAACAGGTCGCAGCATGCTGACCGTGGCTTGTGGTCCCCACTCCGCCTACGTTGTCGCTCTTGATCCGTGCGGTACCTCCATTGCCGTGGGCTCTGCCGATGCCTCGATTCGCATTGTAGATATTCAATCGGCCTCCATCGCCGCTGAAGTACGTACTTGATATCGCCCTCTTCTGACTAAATGGCTGTGGCGCGTCCGTTTTCTCGTGCCCACGTGCTTTGTTCACGACTCACTCGGCTTTGTTGTTCATCTATGATCTAGCTCAAGGCACATGATGATGCCATTGAAGATGTAGTGTTTGATCATCTGGGTGCCTCCCTCTTGAGCTGTGGCTCCGACGGCACAGTGCGCGTATGGTCGTGAGAGCAAGCGAAGCGAGCATTTTCAAAAGAAGAGTCTAGATGCCCGATTTTTGCGCCGGGCCCCTCGACATTTTTTTGGATAAGCCAATCAGGTGCGGTCTGCATCTGTGAACGCAGTCCCGTCTTTCTCCAATGTGTGAGACGTGACAGTTTCCGCAAGTCTTGATGAACATGCAAGTCGAAAATAAGAAAAAAATAGCCGGGGCCTCATTGCAAATTTATTCCTATCTTTAACTGTCGTACTTATCATATTATCTCTCTTTTGGGCCCGAGGTATTTGCAATGATAAGCGAGAGACCACACAAGTCATGCTGAAAAATGAGATTTGGAGATGCTCGATAGTAGGAGTAAAATTTTCAAAGATCTTCTTGAGGCCGGTCGCGCAGCACGTGTGGCAAGCAGAGGAACAACAGCGCCGCACGCTCACAGCCACTAGGTCGATCAAAGACTGCCCTGGGGCGCCGCTACATTTGATGCCGTTGGCTTGGGATCTAAATCACCACGCATCCCAACTATCCTCTTCGCTGCCCTGCTTTTGCTGAGCACCGCGATTCGCTCGCCCCGCGCGGCCTGCAGCTCGGCTGGAGGTTCGGGAGCTGTTGCTCGATGTGGTGGTGCTGGCTCCTGCTTGGTCGTCGTCCTCGTTGCCCCACGCACCCCAGCCATCATCGTCGCCACCAGCCCGGCGCGCTCCACTACTTGTACTACTACGCCCGCCGCGGCTGCGCCCGCGAGTGTCAAAACCCAACCAATTTCACCATGAGGAGAGGTTCTTGCGAAAAGATTGTGGATGCGGCGGGGACGTGAATCCACGTTGAAGATGCAAGCAACTTCATTACAAAAGCCATCCTGTCTTACCTGCGCTTTTCGTCCTTCAACAGCGCACCGATGTTCTTGACGCCTTCGGTGGTATGGGCGACCGCGCTACGACCCATTTCAGTCACGTTGTCAGAAAGTTGGTGCCAAAAGGTCTCATCGCCGACCCGGGCAGCCGTCGGTTTGACGACTGTTTCGTTGACCGAATCGGCCAGCTGAGCGGCTGTGCGGGTGAAGGTTGACCAGCCCAAACTGATGGCAGAAAAGGCATCCTGTAGCAGGTCGTCACCGCCACCACCACTCTTGGTGGATGGGGCCTGAAAATTGGGGTTACCAAAACCGCCGTACTTTCCACCCTGACTGGGAGGAACATCATCGCGGCGTGAGGCGTTGCGAGCCTGTGCCTGTTCAAAATAGTTGTCTCGCTGACGCGTGATATCAGCTCGGCTCATGCCCGTGGCGGCTTCGAGGCTGTCGGCACTGCCGCCACCGGTGGCGCCACTCGTGCTCGAACCGGTCGAGGCGGCACGAGGCGGCAGCCAAGAGCGGGCCGGTGACTTTTGAGGATCCCAAACCTCACCCTTGGCCTCCGTTGCAATCTTGTCGCGGTACAAGGCAGCAGCACGGGTGTTGTACTTGTCCTGCATGTTCATGCCTGGCTGCACATCTGGCTGACTGTCGAACCATTCCTTGAGGCGCCGATTGCCACCAAGCCTCATCCGCTCCAGCTCATCGGTCTAAGCCGGCCGCATCACGGCAAGTGGTACGATTGAAAAATGAATGTCAGTCACTGAGAGCGAAAAGCTCGCACCAAGCCCTGACAATGTGCGGCATGCCAGGCCTGGCCTCAAACGCACCTTCCACTTGTCCATGGTGAGGGAGCGCACAAAGCTGAGATGCACGCCCAAAGAGCGGTGCACGCCGCTGCACTCTAGGCAGATGAAGATGCCATACCTACCCATCAAAAGGGTCGAGGTGACGGGTCATGAGCACAAAGCTTCGCAAATGTGATCCTTCCACCTGCTTTCGTCGTTGGCTGGGGTGGCCGTGATGGTGGGCGGTGTCCACCATGCTCCACGAGTCGCACAAGGTTGGGTCACCTACTTGACTGAGGCCCACGCTGGATTATGAGCCCCGCACTCAAAGCACCGGTCGTTGTCCTGCTTATTCCGCAACGAAGCCAGCGTGCGACGCGTGCCGGGAGAGGCCATGGCAACGGCGAACAAGCTTGGACAGCGTCACCCCACGCACAGGCCGACAGACCAAAAGGATATGCGAGGCCACCCACGTCGCCCTGCAGGCACCGCACCCGAAGCAAGCAAAGGGGCCAAGTCCGGGATGAATTCAATCACCAATCACCCCTCGCGCAACCAGCAAATGGCCACGGGAAACACGAAGAGAGAGAGGGGGGGGAGGGGAGGCGGGGGAGGGAGGGGAGAGGGAGCGAGCATACCGTTGGCGATGCGGTTGCTGCGCAAGGTGATGAGAATGCCTTGTAGAGTTGCTTCAGTGATGATGGGATGCATGTGGTTCTTGTCCCTTCCTCTCTCTTTTTCTCTGAATCTCTCTCTCTCTCTCTCTCTCTCTCTCTGAATCTCTCTCTCTCTCTCTCTGTGAATCTCTCTCTGTGAATCTCTCTGTGAATCTCTCTCTGTGAATCTCTCTCTCTCTCTCCCTCGCTCTCTCTCTCTCTCTGTGTCTTTCCTCTGACAAAAAGTGGTTATCGTCACTGGTTTCATCTCAACATTTCGCCGTGTCGTTCGCCGTCGATACAACTCGAGGTCGCTGAGCTCAAGCCCTCACCACCGACTCGACATCCTCCTTCTCCTCTCTCGCTTCAGCACCTTCCTGCCCGCCCTGCGCCCCTTTTTGTCTTTGTTGGATTGACTTGTTGTTGTTGTTGTTGCTGCTGCTGCAAAGTGCGTTGCATACATCAGCAGAATGGGAGCCGATGGCGGAACCATCCCGCGACGCGACGAACTTGTGACCGTCAAGAAGAAAGCTGTGCAGGTTGGTCGTGCCTTCCCGGTTCCACCTATTTGTTGGGCATCGCGGCTTGAGATGAAGGCAATGAAAACCGATTGACCGAGCGGTGTGGCCCTCATGCACATACCGCGTGCATGGCATAGCGTGATCCACAAATCGAACTCGACGCAAAATGGAAGTTTTGCGCGCTTAGTGCTACTCCCTTGAAGCAGCCCGTCTTCGCATGTGAACTTGGTATGCCACCCCCTTTCACCCTCTCCAACCTTGCCTGCCAAGATATTCGGCCTCGTTGCTTGTCTCACAGCTGCCTTCCTTGTCTCACTGCGTGAACCTGCCTTCACGGCTCACTTCAACCCTCCTTCAGGCCAGCTCTTCAACAAAGAGCCACTCTTGGAAGCGCTGCTCGGGTCGAAGGAACAAGGCGCGCCCAAGGCTCCGGTGATTAAGCATATCAAGTCATGGAAAGACGTCCATGAGCTCAAGCTTACGCCCATCTCGCCAGACAAACCCACCGACTTTGTCTGCCCAGTCAGCGGAGTGGCCATGAACGGTCATTTTCGCTTCGTGTACCCCCTGGCCTGCGGTTGCGTTGTCTCGGAAAAAGCGCTCCGCGAAGCTCCCTCCTCAAACTGCCTGCTTTGTGGCAAGCCTATGACCAAGACGGACCTCATCGTGCTGAATCCACCCGATGAAGAGCTCAAATCCCAACGCGAGGCCATCAAGGCACGTAAGGCAGCCAAGAAAGCAAGCAAGGCCGCGACCCCTGGCGATCAGTCTGCCGGCACTAAGAAGGTCAAGCGTTCTGCTACGGCCTCATCTGCACCTGTCACCGCTGCTGCCAAGAAGCCAACCATCATGAAGGTCCTCCACGGTGCTGACGAGGAATTGGCCTGGGCTCTCAGGTACGGCAAATCAGCGTGGCTGACAACACAGGCTACCAGCCGCTCACCCCAATTCTTATCATTGCTGCATTGCTGTTTCTTTTCCTTGATCCCGTGCTTGCGGCAGTGACAAGCCCATTGCTGCAAAGGGCGATGCAAGCTCGACTCTGAAGAAGCTCTTTCACTCCAGCAAGGTGGGCTTTCGACTCTACTTGTGCGAGTTTGGCGTGGCATGTGTTGGTTGCTTCTGCTATCCTTCCTCACCAAAGTTTTCTTTGCCGCTGGTGTGGGGTGTGATCGCCATACACTCAACAGGATGCTGTTGAGGACAAACACACCTATACTTCCCGGGCCGGCATGACAAAAGCCTACAAATGGGGCTAGACTTGATCGGATAAAATGGTGTCTCGTCTAGACATTTGTCGTGGCGTTCTGTGCCCCCTCGCCATCTTCTTTCACTTCGCGACTGCCTCACGATTGGGATCTGACTCATCTCTCACAAACACACTGCCTGCTGGAAACTCGAAGATTCAGCGCCGTGCGCTGCCGTACAAGATTGAAAGGTCACCACCAGTTTCTGCTAGCCCCAGCGATTTGCACACCTTTTTCCCCACGTGCATACGCAATTTAATGGAACCCCAACACGGCCAACTGCATCACATGGGAATACACTCACACCCAAGTCATAGTAAAGGCATGGATTGAAGATTACCAGGGACAATCAGACACAGACTCGAAGCACAAAGATAATTGAGTGCCTGGCACGCTCAGCCATGATTATATCGATTGCCTTCACCGCGCTTGTGATTGTCCCAGTAGTCACTCTCCGCACGCCCCTACCGAGCAGAAAAACGCACATGGCGAGCTCATGCATGGGTGAGCAGCTGGATGGACATGCCAACTTTGCCGAAAGTCGATCCCCTCGCACCTGCATCGCATCCACATAATCAGCCTCCTCGCTGTTCTCGGGGAGCTCCTGTTTGTTCTAATAGTTTGCCCAGCCCGATGTGGTGAGCAAACAGCACACTGCTATCATTCGTGCCTGGCCATTGAGAAAGATTGGAATTGTGCGTCTCAGAATCACTTACTGCAGCTGCAAGCTTCTCCTGTGCCTGTCGCTCAAGAGCCTCACGCACTTCGCGATCTAGGGGCACCGTACATTCGAGCCATTTTAAAACTCGTGTGAGTCACGACCGAGTGACAACCAAATGCTTGCTTGATCATGCAAGAAAAGCGAGCCACCGACCAGCAACTTCCTCCAAAGACATGGTCGGAGCTCCAATCGGGCCATAACCACGAGTCAAAAGTTTGAAGTTGGCTCGATCAACGCTTTTACCCGTTACTGCCATATGCTGCACAACCAGACAACGATGGAAAGTCAGCTTAATGGGTGAACGCGTGTTGTTGAAACCATCGCGTTGTTGCGCAAACAAAAGAAAAAAAATGAGCATTCCTCGTGCTCACCTGAACCATTTCCTTGGTTAAGACCAGTGGCTTCTCCGGGGGCCGATCGGCATTGGTGGGAGGTCGCATCATGATCTCCTCGTTGTTACGCCGCCGTTCTTCAATATCCTCCAGCATCTTCAGCTCGACTATTGACACCAGGCAATGTCAACTGTCAATCTTACAGAAAGCTCATAACTTCCCCCGCCCCTTCCCGCTCCACCAAAAGACTTACAGCCAAGCATATCGATGGCTTCACAGGCCTTCAACAACTGCATATGCAAGAGAGCAATGATGTGCTGGCGAGCCAGATCTTCATCGTCTTGTGCTTCGGCGCGGTCAATTGCCGCGCGCAACTCCTAGAAAATAGAGAGACGCAAGTGGATGAGCTGAGCAACACGCTGGAGTTGTGATTGAGCATCAGCAGGTCTGGGCCTCAAGCTGGGGCTTCACCTACCTGCACTGTGCCTTCCGTCTGGCGAAGAGCCTTCAAGTGCTCGATTTTGACCTCGCGAGAACGACGGATACCAGGTGTACTCTCAACATAAGCTTCTAGCATCTGATAAATGGGGGTCGGTCCAATCACCAAGCAAGGAGCGTGAGCTGACGTGTTACAAAGACAACGGGTTTGGGGCTTGGTATACAGACCTCTGCCGATGCGAAAGGAAACTGAAGCTGGTTCAAATCAGCCAGAAACTTTTGATAGTATTGCTAAACACAAGGGCACAAGCGACCAATGGGATCAGCTGGGACGATGGTAGGTATTCTCCATGAGCAAGGATAGCACCCGCGCGCACACGTTTGTTGGACTGTCTGTCTGCCTTGGCTGAGTCAAAGGGAGAAGACAGGGGCAACGGGAGCGTTGATGGACAAGATAACGAAAGAGAGAAGCCTACAGTAGCTAACCAAGGTTTGCTTGAGAATAAAGATCCGCTTCGCATCCCGTTCAGGGTCTTCTCGTGAAGGCACGCGGCGAGCAGTGACATCAGCCAGCCAAAAGGGAACCGAGAGGCACCTAGCATGCAAATGATTGCGGCAAGCAGCCGGAACAAATGAGGTACCAATCTCGCAACTGCTCGGCAACCGTTTGCCGTCGCAATACCTCAATGTATCATTGCTGCACTCATCGTAGGCCTCGTTGGAGGAAAACAGGTTAGCGTGAGAGACTAGGTCTGCCAAGCTCTGCCAAGGAGGGTGTTGGTGCGATGAGCTGCAAGCAGACAGAGCGGGGAACGAAAGAAAAAAAGGGCAGCCTGCTGCTCTCGCGTGTATTAGTCACCTGAAGTTGCCGCACAGCACGTTCGACGGCCTCCTGCGGAAACAAGCAGCGCACCCCCCACCAAAAAAAAAAAGCAAAGCAAAGCAAAGAGCCGGGAAATGAGCAGCAGGGACATGAGCAGCAGCGAGTTTATTTCAACGACATCAACTACGCAAGTGCGTACATGGCTGCGCTCACAACTGGCCACCGTAGCCTCGGCCTCGCTCAAGAGCTGCGCGATGGAATCCCCACCCGCCTCAGCCATGCTTTTCCTTATCCAGTCGATCCAAAAAAAAAAAAAAAATCCGTGGGCAACGTCTGTCTGCATTTGTCAGACTTTTTGGGCAAATCAGATGCTGATTTTTGGGAATTTGTTTCAAAAAACGCGGTGGGATGCTTTTTTTCCAAATCCATGCCTGGCTGGAGCTGTCTAAGAAAGACAACCGGCAGCGCCCGATGCACATTGAATGCATCGTCCAGAGTCAAAAGGTGGGATAACTCGTTTGCACCCACACATGTGAGTGCGAAAAGCTGGAAAGCGGGCGCATCAAAACCATGATATCGTGTCAGGATCCAGAAAGTCTGGAGGCCAGTTTTGGGTTGTAAGGAAGCGCGTAGGTTTGAGGAAGCGGTTCGAGAGATGTTGAGAGACGTCCGTCGGGACGGACCGAAAGCTTTGATGGTGTCTCAAGGTCAATTGAACCAGCTGTGGTCGGCAAACATTCACAGTGACCAGACCAGGTGCACCGTTAGACTCGCTGCAGAGCCGCTCGATCCCAAGGATGGGGAAAGTGCAACCCTTGCCCAACCGCAGGTGTCACAACAAAGGGAAACAACAGTAGTCACAAGCTTAGCGCCCCAAGGCATGTGCCAGGAAACGCGAGGTCTAAGTGTAGGTGTGTATGTGTGAGGTCACAGCAGCTATGGGGGTTTCAGTGGAAAGACCCATTGTGACCGAAACTGAGTGTGCGGAGAGCGTAGTAGAGGAGACCCGTTGCAGCATCAAGTTCGGTCCGCCGGAATCGAATACCAAGGCGCCCACGCCTAGGTGGCTTGCTGCTGGGGTCGGCATGGCCGGCGTACTTGGCCTGCCAGTCAGGATCTGTTCGGTAACCCTCCACCAGTTGGGGGTAGATGGAAAGTTGGAGCACGGTTGTGCTGCCTGGCGCTGAGGTGGTCTCGCTGGCCTGGGTCGCGGCCGCTGCCACAAAGGCAACGCCGCCATCACGGATCGCCGTGCCATCCTCGTCCTCACCTAGGACTGGCTCGGCGGCAGTAAACGTTGTAACATCCTCGTCCTTCATGTGCATTCGTGAGAGGGCGTCAGCGGCCACATTGTGTTGGCCTGGTAGGTAAATCACACGCATATTAACGTGCTGAAGCGTATCCATGCACCAACGATCAAAGCGCCTACGCTGGGGTACTGGGCCCTGAAGCTTGGTGGTCTCGAGATACTGGAGAGAGCGATGGTCAGTGTACACGTCGACAGTCTGATTGCCAATCAGGTGGGCATAGCGCTTAAGCGCGCACAATGGCTAGCAACTCTTTGTCACGGACAGGGTAGTTCAACTCGGCGTCGTGGAGCTTCTGCGAGAAGCAGTCCACTATGCGGCCTTGTTGAGAAAGAACGGCGCCGATGCACTCGTCAGAGGCGTCCGTCTGCAGGGAAAAGGGATACTGGCCCGAAGTGTCTGGAATCATGAGCACGGGGCCATCGAGAAGTGCCTTTTTGAGGTCCTCAAAGGCTGACTTCATCTGAGGGGTCCAAGCCAGCTTGACACGCTTGAGACTGTTCTTCGCACGATCAGTCAGCGGCTTGGCGAGCTTGGAAAACGAAGCAATGAAACGGCGGTAGTAGTTGGCGAAGCCCAGGAAACGTTGTAGTTGAGTGGTGGTAGCAGGGAGTGGCCAGTCCCGGAGGGCTGCCAGCTTCGAGGTCTGCATAGCAATGTTGTTGTGGCTCACGGTGTGGCCCACAAAGTCGACCTGGTCCTGGAAGAAGGAGCACTTGGCGATGTTGATCTTGAACTGCGCATCGCGAAGTCAGTCGAGAACACGTCGAACGTGGCGTTCATGGTCAGCCCGCGTTGGGCTGTAGATCAAGATGTCGTCGAGGTAGACAATGACAAAGTCGTCAAGAAGGTCGCCGAGGAGCTGATTCATGGTCCGCTGGAACGTCGCAGGAGCATTGCACAGGCCAAACGGCAAAACGCGAAACTCGTAGGGGCCATAGCGCGTCGTGAAAGCAGTCATTGGGCACGCTGTCGGCGGCCATGGGTATCTGGTGGTAGCCGGAACGGAGGTCCAGCGAAGTAAAACAGGTTGCGTCGCGGAGACGGCTTAAGCAGTCCTCAATCCGTGGCAGTGGATATGCGTCTTTGACGGTAACCTTGTTGAGGGCACGGTAGTCGACACAAAATCGCCAGGAGCCGTTGGACTTTTTTACGAGGAGCACAGGGGATGACCAAGGGCTGGTCGAAGGCTGGATGACCTTGTCTCGAACCATATCGGTCAGGAGCTGCTTCAGTGCGGCCAATTCGGCTTCGCCTCGGCAGTAGTCTCGCTACTTGACGGGTTGCGCATTGTCCGTCAAGATAATTTTGTGTTCAGCAGATTCTACGCCTCGCATAGCCGGCGCCGGCGCCGGAGTCGGTCCGTCGTCGAAGAGGTCAGAGTACTCGTTTCGAATGTCGTCGATCAGAGCATCGCGGTCGTTGGGGGTGGACGAAGATTGCTCCAGGGTGGCCGAGAAACAGCACACAGAGTTGTCGGGGGTCAGAGGATAGTGTGTGTGTGTGAAATCAGCAATATGTTGGGACCAACAGACGCTACAGCAGGATGGTACGGCAAGATGTTACACAACAAGGTTCGACAAAATCAAGTGCCAGAGGACACACAACGTGGTAATGTATACCGTCTCAGATTGTGTCTCTAAAAGTTGCTCTCTTTGACGCCGCCGATTTTTTTCTTGGCCGTGATTTCGCTTCCACCTGTCTTCAGTGTGATGATAGAAGCCGATAAAAGTGTCTTGTTCTCTTGTTGTGTTGTTTTGCATGCCGTAGTGATTCGATGTCGGGGTTGCACAGCTTTGCTTCCAGCTCTGAGATTTGACCACTGAATTTATTATACGCAGATCAGTGCGATAGTCCATTCTCTGTCCCCACTGAACTGCAAATGTGTTTCCACCTGCTACAAATGGAAGCGGTCTCCCTAGATCGGTACCATTTGCCTTTTTGACCCCGATCATTCGACTTCCCTCCTTCTGTCTTGTTCTGTCTTGTTCGCTCGCCTTCCTTTAATCCATGTTCTTGTTATAGTGTGAGCGTGCGACGGGTTTATTTGTGATCGTGCTGTGATGGTTTGTCGTTGTGATATTTGACTGCCGTTTTAGGTGTTGTGTTTGAAATGACTGTATCTCTGGTCATACTTGGTCGTTTTTCATCATTTTTTTGGCCTTGTGAGTGAATCTTTGCACTTGTACCTCTTGGCATAATGCAAGCCCATAAAATGTTCTCGTTCTCTTTTGTTGTTTTGCGTGCCGAAGAGATATTGATGTCGGAGTTGCACAGCTTTCCTTTGTCTCAGATTGGGCCTCATGCTGACTCGACAAGCTCTGCGCCGCTCGGCCCTGATCACACACGGACTGACTCCCACGACTGACGCTTCTTTGCCTGCTCTCTCCGGGGCTGCTCACCATGAACCGAATCACACAGGACGACACTCGGCATTGCCTGAGCCCCATCGAACCTGCCTCGCCATCCTCTGCGACGTCCGGGCCTGGTCATCCAGGGTCTGATCTGCACGGGCCTGCCTCGACATCATCCGCGGCGTCCGGGCCTGGTCATCCAGCACCTGATCTTCCCTTCCCTCCCTCGACATGATCTGTACGGTCATGAGCCTGGTCATCCAGGGTCTGATCTGCACGGACCTGCCTCGACACAATCTCGGCGGTCTTGAGTCATCCAGGGTCTGATCTGCTCGGACCTGCCTCGTCATCCTTTGCGGCGGTCTTGAAACAGCCAGGGTCTGATCTTCACGGACCTGCCTCGTCATCCTCTGCACAGTCATGAGCCTGGTCATCCAGGGTCTGATCTGCTCAGACCTGCCTCGACACGATCTGCACAGTCATGAGCCTGGTCATCCAGGGTCTGATCTGCTCAGACCTGCCTCGTCACGATCTGCACGGGCAGGAGCCTGGTCATCCAGGGTCTGATCTGCACGGACTTGCTTCGCCATCCTCGGCGTCGTCCGGGCCCAGTCATCCAGGGTCTGATCTGCATGGATTCGGCTCGTCACGATCTGCACGGTCAGGAGCCTGGTCATCCAGCACTTGATCTTCCCTTCCTTGCCTCGACACGATCTGCACCGTCATGAGCCTGGTAATCCAGGGTCTGATCTTCACGGACCTGCCTCGACACGATCTGCACGGTCATGAGCCTGGTAATCCAGGGTCTGATCTTCACGGACCTGCCTCGACACGATCTGCACGGTCATGAGCCTGGTCATCCAGGGTCTGATCTACTCGGACCTGCCTCGACACGATCTGCACGGTCATGAGCCTGGTCATCCAGGGTCTGATCTGCTCGGACCTGCCTCGTCATCCTCTGCACAGTCATGAGCCTGGTCATCAAGGGTCTGATCTGCATGGACTCGGCTCGTCACGATCTGCACAGTCATGAGCCTGGTAATCCAGGGTCTGATCTTCACGGACCTGCCTCGACACGATCTGCACGGTCATGAGCCTGGTAATCCAGGGTCTGATCTGCTCGGACCTGCCTCGTCATCCTCTGCACAGTCATGAGCCTGGTCATCCAGGGTCTGATCTGCATGGACTCGGCTCGTCACGATCTGCACGGGCAGGAGCCTGGTCATCCAGCACTTGATCTTCCCTTCCTTGCCTCGTGCCCGCGGCCGAGCCAGTGACCAGGACGTCAAACGGCGGCGGGGAGCAACATCCCATCATCGGAACACTTCCAATGCTTCTCCCCAGCCCTCGCTCCTTTGCTCAAGTTGCTGCGGCAATGCCTGCCGCCGCCACTGCCACATCTTCGGCCCCTATGACCGAGGATTTGTCAGCATCGGTGCCCTCTGAGCCAAATGGCAGCGGGGAGCAACAACCCTCGCCCGAGTCCACAGGGCAGACACATCATTCGATTCCTAACACACCATCGGATTTTTTGACCATGTCTTCGGATGAAAGCGACTCCCCTCCTCGCTCCACCGCACTCCGCGCGCCCACCCCTATCGCCCCTCCCGCGCATGATGGTGCCGGTGACACAAACGGCAGTGTCACGCCTGAGCCATTGGTGCAATCACCTACACCCGCTCAAATGGTGCTGCCATATCCATCGGGTACACAACAAACCCATTCCGATCCCTCTCCGCCCTCTGCTTCACCCCCTGCCTCTGCCATTTTGCCCGCTGCCGTTTCACATCCTGTCGAACACAGTGAGCATGCAAACTCAGCCCCACTTGGCGAAGTCAGTGAGAGTGAAACACACAATACAGCGAGCGAACACAGTGAGAGTGAGCAAGATGTTCTTCTCAGCGATCCCGCTCCGTCCATCGCTGCCAACGTGCTGGATGCCCAGCGCAAGGTCCTGCTGAAGACATCTGGCCACAGGCAACTCCTCGCCTGCCCATTTGGGCTTTGCAAATGCAAGGGGCCCCGCCTTGACCGCAAAGGCTGGGTCAATCATGTACTACGCGAGCACCCCTACGACGAGCAAGCCACTGATCTGGTCAAGCAGGTGATGGAGGCCAAATTGGTCGCCCAGTGCAACAAGTGTCACCTCTTCTTCGAAGCTGCTGGTATCAGTCAACACCGCTCCCGATGTGGTGCCAATCTGAAGCGAGCGACCGAGGCGTTGTTTCATGCGGCTGGACACGACCTGCTTGAGATTATGCGTGGCGCTTGGCCCCAACAGTGTGTAGGGTCTCGCATCAGCGCCCGGCATCCACTGATGCAGCGCAGCCGCTACCCATCCAACGCCACCGAGACCAAGCTGATGGCTGCCACCCTGAGCCAGCTGTATTGGTCTGCCGTCCACTCGGACTATACCGCTGAAGAGCGAGAGATGTGCTGGGCTTTGATTTTGGCCTTGCCTAGCATGTTGTTGTCTGCTCCCTCGACCGCACTGTCTACGATTGACCTGCGCAATATGTTTCACGATCGTCTCCGTTGGCTTGTGACGGGGCAACTAGGTCGGGTCGTGGACGCCATGCGCAAGGCAGTCGCACGCAAGCAGAGCCGTCAAGGACAGCTGAACGCCGGCGCGGGGGCCCACCCGAACGACGCAGTCGACCAGAGCCTCAGGTCGCTCGTCCGCGACCCGGACCTGGCGGACGAAGCCTGGGCAAACCACGTCACGAACCGTCTGAACCGAGGTCAGATTGCCAAAGCATTTGATGCCGACAAGGCTCGTGCCGTGATTGGTAATTCTGAGGTTCAGGCCGTGCGCGACCTCTTGGTACCGCCCGGGCTGACCCCGTACATTGCTTCGACACCCGCCTCCACGTCTACACTGGCACCAGCCACGGCTGCGAGCTCCCCAAACGTGTCCTTCACCAAGGGTGAGCTCCCCAAGGCGTTGGCGGCCACCAAGGGCGTCACCGATCCCTATGGTTGGTCTGGTGAGCTTCTTGCCTCCATCTACCGCATCAAGGAGCACTTCAGTCAAGTCTTGGGCCCACGCCAGGGTTCTACCAGCGACCCGACTGCTCCTTCTGATGGAGACGCGCCTCAGGGCCCCACCACCGCCACTGGAGGTCCTCAGGTTGCCTTGAACAAGATCTTTCACCACATTGCCAACAACACCGTGCCCGAGTCGATTCGACATGCCCTTTGCTCCATCAACTACACTATCCTGGAGAAGGCCAATGGCAAGTTTCGACCCGTGGGCACGGATTCCATCTTCAACAAGGTTGTCAACCGCGCTCTGCTCGAGCAACAGCAGCCCCATATTGCCCACTTGCTACAGGCCAGTCCAGAGCTGGCCGTCAGAGTCAAGGACGGCATTTCAGCAGCGGTTGGCATGGCCTTTGGTGAGCTTCAAGCCTGTGAGTCTACCCCGGGCTGGACCATGCTCTCCCTCGATTTCAAGAGTGCCTTCAACTACACCGACCGAGCACGGCTACACGAGATTGTGGCCGACAAGGTTCCTGGCCTTTTGCGCGCCTTTGAACGACACTATGCTCGACCCACTACCCACTGCATTGTCGACAAGTTCTTCAAGGTGATTGACATTGATGTTGGCCAAGGCATTGTGCAGGGCAACGAGCTATCGCCCTTCTTCTTTGCCCTGTACTCCTGTGAGGTCCTGGGTCTCCTCGACGCCACCACTGACTACCGCTGCAAGGTCATCAAGTACCTCGACGACATTGTACTGATGGGTCCCGCGGAGGACGTGGCGGCCGACGTCGAGATTGTTAAGGCTCGTGCAGAGTCTGCTGGCCTTCATCTGCAGCCCAGTAAGAGCCGCTTCTACATGCCTCGTCACCATCCCGCTTCCATCGCTGCTATCGAGTCTGCCTTGCCAGATGCCGTGCGCGAGACGGCCAACACGGGCATGACGGTCTTGGGAACGCCGATTGGCCGTCGCGAGTGGATGAAGAAGCAGCTGAACGACAAGGCAAAGCACATTGCTGGCAAGCTCAATGACATGCTGACGACCGGTGTCTCGCTTCAGGCCCTCCTCACGGCCATGCAGTACGTGCCTAGCCTCATCAACCACCTCTACACGCTGCCCCCAAGTCTCACGTCGGGCTTGTCCGAGCTCTTGAACCGGCTGCAAGGACACCTTTC